ACTTATTTTTAATTAAGAAGTTGAGTAACAATTGCTTTGTATTACAAGCTATTGGCACAGAAGCAACAAGGATGTTTTCTGATTCTCTGTAATGTGCACATTAGAGATTGAAGAATACAGTTTCACCAGGTTTCCTAAACCTTTTTCTACTCCATGCTGGCCAAGCTGCAAACAGGTTTTTACTCAACTGAATATGAATACAGCAGCCACTGTAAAGAAAGTGCGCTAAGAATATTATAAAGTTCCCTACTGCAAGCTCCATTTTCATTTTGCATGTCCTGAAAAGTATTACAAACTTAGGGAGCAGTCTTATTGCAAAATTCAAAACAGAAGAAATACCTGTACTTGATGTACTAATTTTTAGAACTAGATGAAGGAATAATATTTACAAGATTAACAGTTTTATGTTTTCCAAGCTTGGTCCTACAGACTGCACAAAGATGACCAACACCACACCAGAATGTTGAAACAATACTCGACATCATCCCACAGGAACTCTCTTTAACCAAATTAATTCCAACTGGTCTACTTGTGACCCTGTCACATAGGCAGAAAGCTGAAAGTCCAGAGCAGTCAAAAATGAGAAATTTTTAACATCTTTAAACATGATGTAGGAAAGGGGAAAACAGCAAATTAGTTAGCAAATCCTGCTAGACTGGATAGATTTGAAAACGTGGGGGAAAGGTTTTTGGAAGCTAAAAATACATGTGCAAGAAAGATGAAAAAAGCAACCTTTAGAATACATGCAATCCATCTGGAGGAAAATAATCCAGAGCTACAGCAGATGAGAAAGACAGGAGTGCAGTGATATGGAGCAAGTCTGAAAAGCAAGGGTGGGAAAAACTGTACAAAATTTTCAATGCACCATAACAGCAAAAAAGAAAAAAAACAACAGTTTTTGACTGCGTAAGTAAAGCCCTGTAGTCCAAAAAAAGCAGAAAAAAATACCCTCTGTGGGCTTCTGGTAAGACTATGCTTATCACATTATGTACATTTAAACATATCCCAGAATGAGGGGAAAAAAAAAGAAAGGTATTTTGGAGAGAATTCAGAAGAGAAAAAGTTGAAAGCTGGAAGATTGAATTACAAGAAAAGATTAAGGGAATACAAAGCATTACTTCACTAAATGGTGACTAAGAGCAAGGGTACAAGCATTTGAAGAGTCTAACACA